GTCAGAAAGACGTATTTCAAATTTTGGCAAATCTTTTCACCAGTTCCCGCACAATATATATATGCTGTGTGTGTGTGTGTGTGTGTGTGTGTGTGTGTGTGTGTGTGTGTGTGTGTGTGTGTTTAGTGCATGTGTGTGTACTTAGGCCAAAGAGATGGGTTAAGTCTTGTGTGTGTGAATGTATTTACCACGCGGCAGCCAATTCCTCTTCATGATGATCAATAAAATCTTATCCCAAGCCCAGCTGAATAACTAATGTTTGACAGACCTGCTTGACTGCCATGGTGGTGCTCTGACTAGAGGCAGCTCCTGCTTTGCTCGGTGCGGGGTGGATGTTGGCTGTCTGTTGCTGCACGGGATGTTTGACCTCGGACTGGTCGCCAAGGTACTGCAGTTTGTTGATGGTGGCTGGGATGCTGACTGGGACTGAGGACAACAAAGATAATGGTGGAGGCAGCTGCTTCAGTTGGGGTTCTTTAATACATTTTTTTTTGGTGTTAAAAATCGTTGTTTTTAATTCCCCTATTGAGCAGAGCAAAGATAATGGTGGAAGCAGTCGTTTCAGTTTGAATTTTTTTTTTTTTATTTTAGCGTGCTAAATGTAGTTGTTTTTACGTCCTGATCAACACTATTTAGATCATTTAGTAGGCGGGCTTCTCACCCTGACTGTAAGGGCCAACCACGGGTAAGAGGGATACGGCATACAATCTAAGAGACTGAGATGCCCGATAAAAATGTTCCCCAAGTCAGCAACGAAACTCGGGGTCTCCTGCATGTGACAGCCACAGACCTAACTGCTACACCACAGATGCCAGTATTTCAGTAAAGAGTTTGAGTGAAGAGAAGCACATTGACACCGTGACGTATGGCAGAAATGACAGAGGGATGGAGAAGAAGAACCTGTCAGAAGGGCCCTCCAACCCACCACAGCTGTTTTATGTCTTTTGGTTTGACCAGCTATGTCTTTTGGCATTCTAATTAATTAAGCCATAGTGATGGGATATATTTTGGGGGCAAAACTAGACCAAAGTGATTGGTTACATATTTTGGTTTAATTAGGCCAAAGAGACGGGTCAAGTCTTGGTGTAATTAAGACATTTGTCCACAATGATGATGATGATGATGATAAAGATGATGATGATGTTCAAAGAAGTTTCACCAGATCTAGTGAGAAGGGGCTGATTGTACAGGTGACTGTCTTATACAGCATATTCTCGTTGCAGGTTCAACTGAACTTCGTGGATTGATTTTGATGATTTAATACACATAAGGGAATGCCATTAACTTAAAGGACTCAATTTTTTTTAAATTTTGGGTAACATTTTGGCTAAAATGAACATCATAACTTTAGGCTCTCGACAGGCAATAAGACCTCTCTGCAGGGATGTGACTGGGCTTTTTCTGAAAATATCTGAAAATTAAGGAAGAGGCATTTGAAAACAAAAAGATAGTTACAGGGCATAACTAACATGGGGTTACACAAGAAACAAATACTATTGAAGATGTCAAAGACGACCACCCATTGTCCAGGAGAAAAGGGGTCTTAGACAGGTGGACGTCTTGGGCACTGTCATTATAAGGTTAAGAAAAAAACGCAAGGGGGAAAATGGGAGTTGGCTGTTTGTAGGGGTGATTGTCTTATACATTAGGTGACCCTTACTTTGAGCAGGTTCGACAGTACTTAGAATAGTACCTGTTCTCTTTGTGAAAAACAAGAGAAATAACAGACAATGGCATGCCTGCTCCGTACCTGTCTCACCGGTGGGCAGCTGTAGAAGCACCTGCATAGTGCACTGCTGATGCTGCTGTCGCTGCTGTTCTGAGCTGATTGCTGCCGCTGCTGCTGCCTCGATGAACTCTGCGGGCTCCTCTTTGACTTGGGTCAGCTCAAGGTCAGGGCCAAGAGCTGTGGTCAGCGCAGAGGCCGGAGAGGACAGGCCCAGGAGCTGGGAGCTGGAATGTTCAGAAGGCTGCTGGCCCAAGGTCATCGTCTTCATCTGTAGACCGGCAGCACTGTTGCAGAAAAAAAAAAAAAAATTTCAACAAATAAAAAAAATAAAAAATTTTAATTAAAAAATGTCACTTGACAAGACTTCTACAGTCAGTTTTCTCTGAAGTAAATGTGTGTGGGTGTGGGAGTTGTGTGCGTGCATGTATGTGTGTGTTTGTGTGTGTGTGCATGCTTGTGTGCTGGTGTGCATGCTTGTGTGCTGGTGTGCATGTGTGTGTACATGTGTGCGCACCCGAGCATGTGTGCTGTTAAATGGCCTCACAATGTGCTTAGTCTGTCTTTAGATTTATTAGTTGAGTGATAATTCTGCATCATGCAGAGATTAGAGCCTTCTAGAGATAAGGCTCTATATGATTCCCATTACTGGAGAGTGACATACAAAGGCAATAAAGAGGAGAGATAATAGGGACAGTCATTTGATCGGAAAGAAGGCCAACCCGGATTGAGAGGGATACAGCATTTTAGTAGAAAGACAAGAGGTACTTGATATAAATCCCCCCCCCCGCCCCCACTCTGGTATTGGACACGGGTCTTCTGCGTGCGACAGTGTAACACATAATCGGGATGGTGTCAGAATTAAAACTAGAAAACAAAAAGTGGCTTTACGCATTAACGGATAAGTGTGAGAAAAAACCTGAAAGTAGAAGGCACAGACAACATGAGAAGCACACCCACCAACCATACATGACAATCAGCGCACACAGAAAAGAGATGTGTAACCATCTATAGTATTGAAATGTCAAAGACCGCCACCCACTGTCAAGGAGAAAAGAAGTTGTCTCTGACAGGTAGACTTCTTCTTCTTCTTCTCGATCGCATCACGCTTGAAGTCTGATATCTTTCATTAACTGGGCCATCCTGCTCAGTTCATCTGTTGGCCCATACAGCTTTTCTCGTAGAGTCAATAGGACTGGCCACGTTTCCTGTCTCGGGGTCCTGTGTGTTTTACAGTACTGAAAGACGTGTTCCACAATTTGGTCCGCCTCTCCAAACTGGCATTTTGGTGATTGTGCTATTTTAAAACATCTGTACATGTCTTGTCTCAGTCTTGTGGGTTGTGTTCGGAGTCTGAAGATAACCACTTGTTCTTGGTGGGACAGCTCATGGCAGCTATCTGGTGCCTATAGTGCTTTAAATAGAGTATTTATAAGAGTTTTGATTTCTGTGTAGTTGATGCTGTTGTTTGGTTGCTCTTTTTGAGAGCCTAGTTTGGCCATCCTGTCCGCCTGTTCCTTTCCTAAGACAGCACAGTGCGATGGGATCCACTGCAGCATGATCCTCAGACATGGGATGCTCTCCATTACTTGTCGCACCCTTTGAAGTTTGTCAGCAGTGATTGCCTGCAGATGCATGGCATCTGTTACAAATACTACTTGGCTTTGGGGGTCTACGACATCCCTGATGATGTTTGCTGCATCTATAAGAGACTCCGTCTCTTCCCTGTAGTTTGTACAAAGCCGCACAGTTGGGATCGCCTCTGCTTGGTGTCGTCCATTTGGAAACTGTTGGCCCATTCTTACTCCTTCTCTTTTCATGGCATCAGTGGCAGATCCGTATGTGTAGATCCTTACCCATGCTTCGGGGGGTATCTTTCTTCAAGCATGGACAGGGCGAGGGTTTTCCAGCTCAGATCGCTGTGGTCCTCTTTTATGGTGAACAAAGGGATAGAAGTGTGAATAATTACATTAGTGCTTTTCTTCTCCCACGATGGTGCCTCCGGGTACGGATCAGCATGATCACTGTGGCAGGTAGATGGTCTTGTAAGGATCTCCGTATTCCTCTGCTTTCCTTGACAAAGACAGGTAGACATCTTGGACAAAGTCATTACGATAACGAGTAAAAAATGCAAGGGGGAAATAGAAAGTGGTCGTTTGCACAGGCAATTGTCTTCAACAAGTGACCATTAGAGCAGGTTCAACTGTATTACCTGGCAGGAACCGTGGAGCCACTGAGATGGGCTTGTTGGTTCTCTTCCCGGTCTGGCGTCGTTGCTTGAGACCTGGCCAACTGAAGAAATAATAAACTGACTGAAATAACATAGTTTTTAGCAAGAGTTTTACGGCACTTACAATGAAGAAATAATAAACAGCAATTGCACTTTCTCAGTATTTAGTAAAAGTTTTAAGGCACTTGCAACCTGAGCCCATATCCTTTATCCTTATTCAACCATGTTGCTTGAAAGACAACAGGAAAAAAGACAAAAGAGTAAAAAGAAAGCATATCTCATCATTTCGAATGTACTTTACCGAGTGTGCAGCCTCTGGGTCACAGTGAAGGTGACAGTGAGGTCGCAACTATGTCATACAAGAACAAGAAACAGAGATGAAAGAGGACATGGGGGATTATTTATTTCCAACTCCTATTTTGTTTAACAATTTGGAGGAAAACTATTTTTGATCATAGAGATACACCTTACCTTTCTGGAAGAGCCCGGATTTGAACTGACAACCTTTCATTCACAAGTCCGCCACTTTAACCTTTGATTTCAACATTGATTTTGTTACAGAGCGTTATCTGGCTATGAAAAAAGTCCAGGATTCTTCCGACCTCATGATCTTTCCTTGTCAATATATTACCAGCGTGAATTAAAATATACAAGCACTTTTATAGATTGTTAAATAGTAAGACACACCTTTACACCTTCCCTGATTTCAAACAGATTGACCATGTCTCTCCTTTGAAGCACATCAAAGAAGTCCAGATCTAAAGGGAGGAGAGCAATACTTGAGCAATCTGCTTCCTCTATATGTCTACCGTCTAGGAAAAGCTGTATGCCGCGTACTGCTTTATGATCGTCGGTCAAGGCGCAAAAGGCCATAGATACAGATTCCAAACATCAATGGATTTCGTCAACCCCTCACTCACCCTCGCTGCCAAGTTTCTTTTCACATCCTGAGCCGTGACAGGTGGGGCATGAGCAGCCATGACAGTCTTCCCAGACAGGTCCAGAATGGCTGTGCCACTGGTGGAGCTCTTGGCCAGTGGGCTGGGCTTGGGGGGTTCGGATCCCCGTAGCTTATCTCCCAGTGTAAGCGGCGACGGGGCGACCACAGAGGAGGCTTTGAGCGTGTCAGTGAGGATAAGTGTGGGTGTGTTGAGCTCTCCCGTCTGTGGGCCGGGCAGTGGGGCTGCCACCTGGAAGCAGACAGACAAAATAAACAATGAATATAGAAGCTATAGTTAGATGAAAAAGTATACGAAAAAAAAAGGCACAGTTCAATAAAATGTGGCAGTGGGGCCACTGCATGATGCCGTCATGGGGTCAAAGGTAAAGAGCAAGTAAACAGAAAGTAGGAGGGTTAGATAAATTGTGGAACACACAAGAGGTAGAATCAGGGATAAATGGGAGGAACAGTTTGATAAAATGGGAATTAAAAAAGATATGGTAGGATAAAACAAGATGTAAAAAACATAAAACAGAAGCATAGTTTGAGAAATCAAGATATAAAAAAAGAGGAATAGTTTGATAAAACAAGAAATAAAAAAAGAGATATAGTTTGATAAAATAAAGACTTCACATATAATGATAAAATTAAAATTAAGAAACAGATGTCGTTTGACAAAGCAAGAACTAAAAACCGGTATGCGTTGAAAAAGTAAGTCCAAGAATTTAGAAGAGGCAACAGGTACACAATGACCAAAAGACACTGTAAAGAAATCTGAGAGATGATAATTTTTCATTTAGTGGAACAGAGTGGAATGTGACCAATGAAAATTCCCCAAAACAACCCAAAATCCTAGGGCCCTAGGGACTCAAACTTTACCAACTGCCTTGTAACTCTGAAAAAAAAAATCTTCCCGAAAACTAAATAAATGCAAGCATTTACAATTACCAAACAGGATCAATTTAAGCCAGTATCTCAACATCCAATGATATGTTTAAATTTCCCAAACACTTGATACCAATGCTACATTTCACTGTTGCTCCAGGAACACACACACACACACACACACACACACACACACACACACACACACACACAAAAACTGATTGGAAAATACCTCTTCCTACTCTCATTGTTATTCTCACCCATACCAAACTAACACATGCACACATAGTACTTCAAAGCACATGTACATTGGTAGTCCTAGGCTTGGTTGTTGGACAAGTGATTTGTCTAGGACTAGTGGCTGTTACAGCAGGTTCAACTGTAGTTTTGCGGTAAAAATTCTTTCCTGGTCATCAAATCATAACAGATCCTGAACTCTGTACTTTTCGGTCCTTGAAGGCAAGAGAGTCTGTTTGCATTGAAGAGAGAAAAGGACGATGAATGCTTGATAAGAAAGGAGCAAACCACACCAGGGCGTCCACAATCACCCACCAAATAATACTTACAACATCACTATCCAGGGCTTTCTTGTACGCATCATCAAATGGGTTTTTGGACAGCTCCTGAAAGAGACTGATCTCCTCATAGTTCTTGAGGAACTTGGTAGGTGTTGGGGTTTGGTCTGTGAAAAAGGGAAAATGAAAATATAAATATGAAATCATTGTGATGGAAAATTTAAAAAGCCACTTAATTATTTTGCTCAAAATTTTATCCAAGTATCCTAAAACTTTAATATGAAGTTAAACAACTACAGAATTAAATCATTCTTAATCTGCAGTTTAACTACCTACGAATTTTAAAAATCAACAAAATACCCCAAAAAACTTTACTCCACTATAATTCTACAACACTGTTGAAAATTCTTATACTTGCCATTCGTAAATATGATTAAGCAAAGACGTAGAGTACAAACAAGATCTTAATTTTGCATCAAAATTTAACTGTACTTGTTTGGAGCAGTACGCAAAAAGCAATGTACATGCAAAAATGTCCTTCAAGAAACAGAAGATTTTTGCAATCAGTACGGATACAGTTTACGCTACACTTTGTATTATTGTATTAGGTCCATGTGATGAAAGGACAGACAGATACAGGCTGCTCTCTCTCTCTTTCTTACACCCAAGTGTGTATGTGTGCGTGTGTGTCTGTGTGTGTGTGGTGTGTGTGTGTGAGTGTGTGTGTGTGTGTGTGTGTGTGTGTGTGTGTGTGTGTGTGTGTGTGTGTGTGTGTGTGTGTGTGTGTGTGTGTGTGTGTGTGTGTGTGAGAGAGAGAGAGAGAGAGAGAGAGAGAGAGAGAGAGAGAGAGAGAGAGAGAGAGAGAGACAGAGAGACAGAGAGAGAGAGAGAGAGAGAGAGAGAGAGAGAGAGAGAGAGAGAGAGAGAGAGAGAGAGAGAGAGAGAGAATTTCTTCTGTGTGTGCTCTAGAGCAAAGATTAATTTTTTCACAGTTTGCACAGTATTATTCCTTCATGAATTTGTACTTGCATTATAGTGAAACACTTACTTAAAGAGTTATAAAAATGATTTACAGTATCATGATATTTATCGTTACAACAGAAAGTACCGAGGAAGTGGTGGGCTGGGGAAGAGCTGCTTGATGGCTCCCCTGCATTTAGTGCCAGTGACATCTCATGTTTCTTGGAGTGTACGTTGAGGTGGTCTTCATTTGTAAATCGCTAAAGGAAAAAACAAACAATAACAACATTTTTAAAACATCCAAAAAAGAAAACAAAATATGATTTAACAATTAAAATGAAAACAAAACATCCAAGCGGAAGTAGAAGAGAGGGTGCTGACATTCGCAAATACCTGTTCTGTCAATTTCCTCTGATCCAATAAAGACTAATTCTGTTGATGTTGCAAACACTTTCTAGCACATAAATTAAATCACAAGTAAGTTCAATAAAGTATATTTCAGTCTGCTAAACCCCTAAGACAGATTTGGACACTAAGAATTCAACATTAATCAAGTCTCATTTCTTTGTACATAGAACTCTTGAAAGACTTGTAATACTAAGTACAAACCACTCTTTTTGTTTCATCCTCTACTACCTTAATCCTTGTTATCAGACCCCCCAAACCAACTGTCAACTCCAAAACCCCATTGCCTTTTATCTTCAAAAAAGCACATAAAGCTTGGTGGCAAACAGGAAAATAGCATTGAGAGCAATTGCACAAAACATTCTCCATTAAAAAAAACTACAATAATCATCAGTCATCTAACAGTCATACAAAAAAAACCCCTACAATAATCATCAGTCATCTATCTAACAGGCATCTTTGGTTATAACGAGTTACAGAAACTACTAGACGATATTCATTAAAAGGTAACTTTGAAGGTAAGACATTAATTGTTCAATTTAGTTGGGGGTTTTTAAGTTTTGTTAAAGAGTTTTACGGCACTTGCAACACAGAGTTATATGTGTGTTGAAGATTGGAGGTACTTGAGAGTAACATACAGAGAGAAGAGAAGGATGAAAGTTAAGGATAATAGATGTTTGGTAGGTAGGCAAGAAGGAGCAAACCACACCAGAGCATACACCAACCATCCAGTGATATTTTGTATTAGTAACTGCTGATAAATGGACGCACCATGCCACAGCCATCAACAGGGCAAACAAATGGCTTGTCATCATTCATGGTACACAACTCGGGCGATTTCAGCTACTGGCTGGACAAAGAAAGAAAGGGATTCAGTGGCCACATATGCAGGTCTGGGGATATAAATATATATATATCATTAGACAAGCATTAGAAAAATGGTCAAAGTACTCAAAAACATTTCTTAAAAATACAAAATGACGCTCCCTCCCCACCACACAAGCAAAAAACATTTCTAAAACGTCACAATGATTGTGATTCAGTACTGCGTGTACAGCTACAAATGTTGTCTGAACTCCTCAGACACTTAGACAGAACTGTTGTTCATTTTCGCAAACCTAAAACTGTAGTTGAGGGTCTAAGGCACTGTCCTGAAAAATAGGAGTTGGTGTAAGAATGTTCCGTAACATTCTTAAACCTGAATGTGTGGCTGGACCAGTAGTCCAGGAAAGATAAGAAAATATGGTCATTGCGCAAGCAAAATGGCATAACTCAGAGTTGTGCCAAAAGCAATAGCCGTGTATTCTGTTTGATGGTACCTTCTACATCTCTATCTTTTGGTAAAACCAAAACAAAAAATGTATCGGTGGTCACAAAAGAAACATGCATTAAATGTTTTACCATTATTAGATGATAAATAGTCAAGTCAAACAGTTTTATCATTAAAAATTATTTAATAAATAGCAAAAATGACATTGCCATTTTGCTAGCGCAGTGACGATATGTGAAAAGAACCTAACACTAACTTATTGTGATATAAATGTTTTTAATTTTTTATGTTTTCTAAAATTCAAAAGTTTCAGGCAAGTTAGATGAGAAGCCATACATCTATGTTTGAACAATTGGGCTAAAACATTCAAATTTTGTTTTAAAGTAGTGTGCATTTCTTCTTCTAAACTTCATTTGGAAGCTATATTTTAACAGTATACTTTCTCGGAGTTAAAATACTCAATCTACACATAATAATAGAATAAGAGCTTGCACCTTTGAACTCTCTGAGCCTGTACTTCACTATCCAATCCTAGAACTTCGAAGATATAAGAGTTTTCAGCAATTGCCAAAAACAGATATCTTTTTACCAGGAGTTCTTTTATTCGAAGAAGAACTTCTACCAAAATAGGTCCATGTTTTATTCAATGACCAATTTTTTTGTGATAAATGTCACGTTTAGATTTTGTACCAAAAGAAGGCCACAGCATTGTGGGAAAAAACCCTCCAGAGATAAATATTTCAAAAACTGGAGAAAGGATGTTTTTTTTACCAAATGGCAGACCTATACTATTCTGAAAAAAACATGACATATCCTCTATGCGCCAGTTAAGTTCTTTCCTCGAGAAACATGATTTTGCTTGTGATCAACGAAAGTTTGTCAGCAGTTCTTTCCCTTCTTTATTGAACGAGAATGAATATGTCACATTTTGTCATAAAAATGTGGGGAGAACTCATCAATTTAGAAGTAAATAACCCGCCACAGAATTAATGTAAACCTTACATTATTTTTACTCTAAAAACGAAGTAGCTCAAGATTACACAGTAAATGGATAAAGAACAAAATCTTCATTATAGCCCAAACCAGTAAAAAGCATAAAATGTCACTTTTTTTTCTCGAAATTGTTCATTATAATATGTGAAGCACCGTGGTGAAATTTGGCGCTTGTCAAAAAATGAAGTTGAAGAAGTCCGAATAGATTTATTTTTCATTTTATGACTAAACATCATTTATGTCCTTTTGAAAATACATTATTATTTTGTGTGTGGATTTTATTGAAAAATGATTAAAAACGGACAAAAAATGTAAATCTTTATTTCCAAAGACTCTCTAGCTATGGAAATCTAAACTTTGGCGACCATTTTTTGCTAATTTCATCTCTGAAACTAGGTGACCCCCCCCCCCCTTTCATTAAATATTTTTTCCATCAAAAGCAAAATAAATGAACAAGCTTTAAGATGATACATATATATGTATATACCAATAACTCTAAATACTCAAAAACAGACGAGCGCCTAATTTCATCGCATCATGACACATTATATATTTGCATTTTAAGTCGTGTTTGAGCAAAGACAAGCACATTAACACAATAACGGTCATCTAGTGAAAAGAAAAAGCAAGACAGATACAAACAGAAATGAAAGAGGGAAAGAAAAGTAATTGGACATACCAGAGGCCCTCTCAACAAACTGATATTTTTAGGTGATAATGGGATACATGATAAATGTTTCTAAGTCTGACAAACAAAAGGGAGATGGGAGGGAAAAGAGGAGTGACTAATGGGAGAGCTACATCTTGATTAGTTTAGCAACAACTTTTATAAACATAGGTAGAGATACTACTAACTTATACGCAGTACAGATATAAAGATCAATAAATCTATAGTACAAACTGTTTCTCACTTGTTGAAATTAGGTCCATAAATTAAAAAGTTATGGCTGTGTACATGTTGGAAATTCTGGGTATTTTGGAGAAAATTCTTACAGTGGAATCAAATAGGGGAAACGGAACCGAAATATTGAACACTAACCTACTAGATTTATGGACGGAATGAGCTGAAAATTGCGAGTTGTAGAGTAGTAGGGGGGGGGGGTTGTTGTTCGTAACAAAATTGAAAAAGAAAGAATTCAAGTTGCAATCTCAGTACCTAGAAAACTTTTTATGCAAAATTAAATAATTGATTAATTTTACTCACAACCAATTAAAAAACAAATAAACATAGACCTGTCCATTCCGTAAATTATGCATGGGATGTATTATAAAAATCTATGTTGATTGTTGGCAAGGGGAAAAAATCAGAAAATGTGGGGGAACAAAAAAGGTTTCAAGTAGCTCAGTTCTTTACAAGATGCACCCTTTTCCAGATGAGAGACTCATGTTGAGACTGGGCGGCTGGCTTCAGTTTTCAGATTTGTCCTTTAATGAAAGGCACCCTATTATTCTTCCAAAGGGTCACATTGCCCTTTTGCTGACCAGGTCTCAACATCTTGCTCTTATTAAGAGCTGTAAAATAATACAGTATTCAATTTACTTTTTTTTTTCATAATTGAAATCAGGGTTGGGTGGATTTAAATCAGGTCAATTTAAATCAGTTGATTTTAAAAAAAATTTAAATCAACTTGATTTTAAAAATAAACTTAGATTCTAAGTGACTAAAATCACTTTTAAAAAATGTATTTTGTTTTTACATCTTTAAACATTCAGAATTCCTTTCCTTGGTTTTATAAAACAGATATTATAAGGTTTAGTAGACTAATATAATCATGCTTACAAGTCTGCTTTCCCCCCTGTCACTGTAAAATAATACAGTATTCAATGTACTTTTTTTTTTCATAATTGAAATTAGCATTTTCTTTTTCTTTTTAGACAAACACAAGCACGCACACACACACACACTGTAATAAAATGCAAGTTTATCTATGCATGCATAATTACCCCCCTTCCTTTTAGACTGACATTTTCTTCATTTTTTTGTCTGTAGCCATAATTCACTGATATAGCAGATTAAGGCTTTCTTTTGCAGTTGCTTTAAAAATTAATCATTAGTTAAAATAAAGACAATGCATTTTGCACTAAAAGAACATACTTTTAACCACCAAAAATCCCAAACCGTGTCGACATTTAAAAAAAAAATTTTTAATTAAAAAATCCGATTTAAATACTGTAGTCTCCGCCTAAGATCCCACCGCTTACGATCCCGGTTCGCTTAAGATCCCGCTGTTTTAAGAAAACAGAATTTTTACTATACAAAAGTCACCCTTAAGATCCCGCTCTGATTCACTCTGAAGGTCTATATTCGGTTAAGATCCCGCATTTCAGATCATAATTTGCGGAACCAAAACCCGGGCCGGACAGCCAATCAACCAAGAGTGAAAAGTTGAGATCAATAAACTGTCCGTCGCGTCAAAGATCAACCACTATCGTGAATGTGATCACATACACGTTGTAAAACTCGATGAACTGAAGCGATACAGTGTTTGCCCCAGACGGGATCACACCGGGGTGTGAACTGACTGACACGTTTGTTTTCACCGAACATTGCACTCACACCTGAGCTCTCCCCCTAAACTTACATCACTCGCTGGGTGGGCAGGGCCTACACGTTCGCTCCAGGTGGGATCACATTGAACTGTGAACTCTTCCCTGACCATTGCAGAAGTTGTCTTTACTCCCAAATTTGTGAGCCAGACTGAATTTTAATTGGTGTGTTCACAACGTAATGGTGTGTAACGACAAAGGCGGTTTGGGGGGGGGGAGGGAGATTCGGCCAGAGATGGAATGCTATAAATTTTCCACAGGTAAGGGGAGGGGCAACTTGATAAGCGTAGATCTTGAGACTCATGATAGGATAATAAGTGAAAATGGCACGCCTCATGCCACTATGCACTGTGATAGGTCATCAAGGTTTTAACCACTCTTTGCTCGCCATTTGCCATAAACCCACCAAGCGGTCACGTCAGTTCATTTTAGAGTGGAAGGAGACCATTTTACCGATTGTGAGCCTTAGCATGGGTCACCGCAGATTATTCCCCAGGTTCGTCGGTTAAGATCCCAGTTCGCCTTAGATCCCGCATTTCCTTGCTCCCGAGCACCGGGATCTTAGGGGGAGACTACTGTAAAAAAAAATCTGATTTAAATTTTAAAAATCGATTATTTTTTTTTTATTTAAAAAATCTAAAAAATCACCAACCCTTGTTTTACGGCGCTATTGACACAAAAAAGACAGCTATAGGCACCAGTGAGGACCTTGGTTTTTTAAATATATATATAATATTTGGCTAGTGTTTGTTTCTGGCTTCATTATTTTATTACTGTGGGCAGTGGAGAGAGAGAGAGAGAGAGGAGTAGCGCGAGAACTTTTGGGCAAAACAAAATGGCGACCCGCGTTGTTCGGCTCGATTCGAAAAGTGAAATAGCCGTAGCATCTTTGTAGACGACCAAATTATTTTACTTTTGTGTTTTAACATCATTTTTTAACTTTGTTTTGGTCAATTTGATTGTCCACACCGAGACAGTATTCAGAAAGAGACAGAGAGAGAGGGAGAAGAGGGGAGGAGTAGATCTTGCGAGAACTTCTGGGCAAAACAAAATGGCGACCCGCGTAGTTCGGCTCGATTCGAAAAGTGAAATAGCCATAGGATCTTTGTAGTCGATCAAATTAGCTTACTTTTGTGCTATATCGTAATTTTTTCTTTGCTTTTATCCATTTGATCATCCACACCGATAGAAAGTATTCCGAAATTAGGAAAAATAGGTCTTGTTTCACACCAGGTGAGAATAGCCTACGGTGGCAAGTCTCACCCGGGGTGAGAGGTCGGTCGTATTTTTATTCTCACCACGGGTGAGGATAGCCACTTCCATTCTAAATACATGTATATATAGATTTAAATGTATGTTAGAGCGTTCCACAAAAACATGTACTGACACTAGCAGGCCCCTTGTGTGTGATTCCATAATATTTACTCATTTACAAGTAATATCCAGTACTTTTTTTTTTTTAATTACTCACATTTAGGGTTAAAACAGCCAATCTTCTTCGGACATGTGGACACACGCCCTTATCTATTAATTTTTGTGGTTGTTATGGGCTGTTCTAATTTTGATTTCATTCTGTTGTGAAACCTTTCTTTTTCACCTTTTTACACTCATGCCAAAAATCACTAGACAAGACCAAGCTCTTGAAAATTGAAATAGATCTAGACCCAAAACTTTGCTCCTTCCCAGACCTCGCAGAATGGCAGAATGAAAGTTGGCGCCGAACTCCGCAAAATAGGCAAAAAATCACGAGACCGGAAGCCGAAAACCGTTCTGTGAAATAATAAAGATCGGCACTATTTCTCTGAACGTTCGGAGAAATAGTCACTTAATAATTTAATACTGTAACAACAAGAGGTGACGCTATTTGGTAAAAAAAAGGTTTTCCCCAAAATCGACAAGAGTTGCTTCCCGCACTAGAGACTAGAGAGCTGGCTCACCCGTTGGCGATTTTAGTCGCCTCGCGTGCTCAGCGGAGTGAGAGAGGGAGGCGAGTTTTTGCCAGGAGCGCTCAGTGACAGGGATCCTATGATGCCCGAAACGAAAAACCGGGTGAGAATAGTAGGCTGTCGTTATTCTCACCCCGAGTATCAATTATAGAGATCTATTACTAAGTACTAAGTATATCTAATAATAATTCCGATCCAGTTTATCCTCACCCCGGGCCCGGGTGAGAAACTCATGATTCCCAAAAGAGTGACAGAGGATGCAAATCAGTTTTATTAGAGAAGACAAAAATTCCTTACCTATTCATTCTTTAATTAGAATGCAATTAGCAAACAGCTTTCAGTTTTACAAAGGGAATCCACACTGTACATCAAAATGTAAACAACATCCCATCGCCACGGAGTGACAACAAAAAGGGAGGGCAGGCAGAGAAGGCTACTGATTTTTTTTATTTCATTCGAAAATGAGGGAAAAGAAGCGGGGAGGGGGAAGGCAGAGGGGGGGAATACTATGTGGTATAGCCTGAATTATTATAATGTCTTTGTGCACTAATCACAATACAAAATCATACATTACTTACACTGCCATCAACTGAGACAAATTCTAAATTCCCTTCCCCATCATGATCGAAGTATCAAGCAACAGATGGCGCAGCCTTCGTTTTGTTTACTTCCTAAATGGTTATAATAATTTTTCAAGGAACATAAATTAATTACATACTGCACGTACATTGTACTTAATTTCGAAAACACAGACGTTCAGTACTGAAGTATCTTCAAGGAGGAAATATCTTCTATCACTTGTGCATACCTTTTTGATAAATAAATTAGTAAGTGTATTCCAAACAATGAAGTTATAGCTGATAGTGTTCTGTCTGAGTCTTCTTAGGATTATTGTATCGAATATTTTCTCAGTAATAGCAGACTTTACTATTTTTTAACTTGAAAGAAAATAACAATAATATAATTCCATACCTTTTTCGTCAACATGTACAATCACAAACTTGAATTCCAACAATAAAGACTCTTATGATGATACCAATGCAATAATGCATATTATGTATAGTATGTTACTTCCTCCCAATTTTATACTAACTACTAATATTACCGTGTTGGTCATGTGACAATCATGTGACTGTTCTCACCCGTCAACACTTCGAATTGTTTGTAAACTTGCTATTTTGTTCTAGATCTAAGTTGAAGCATGCTGGCACATCAGGGTTGCACAATTGCCGCAAGACTGTCCTTACTATATCTGTTGCTCTGTAGGACAGTCTACTCTATCCCTCCCAATATCGTCTTCATTTTGGCAGACGATTTAGTAAGTGTTACTAGACTAGTGTTGTATGTGGTTCAGTGACAGTGATCAGTTAGACCAGGTCTCGACTCGAAATGTCTAAAAATAAGACCCTTGCAGAGCTCAGTTTATATCTAGTTAGCTTTAAATACACTACAGTACTACAGTAGCCTACTTTAACTTTACTATTGCCTGTGTTTTTGCCGTGCAGTTTCAGATTTGAGGGCGTTCTTCCTTTACAGTAAATTAGCCGACAACATATCCACTACACGACTAATTTTAAGCTAGCATTCCCCTCTGAGGACTGTGAGTTCAAAATGAAGACAAGAGTACAGCACACGACCACACTACTAGAAACAAGTAGAATATCTAGATCTAGGGGTCTACCTGAATTCTCCAATACTAAATCTGAAAACCTTTCACAACATGTTTCAGTGACTGCCCTGAGCAATCATAACATAATGGCAAGCGCTATAATTTGCAACGCCACGTTCTGAATAGCTCCCGTGCTATTTGCAACGCCGCGTTCTGAATAGCTCCTGTGCTATTTGAAACACCAGTACTAGAATCTAGATCTAGATCTAGATGTAGTAGCCATCGTTTCTACATGATAATATTGTAGTTCTGCCTGAATTGTATTGTGGAAGCTTTCTCAGTTTTTTTATAAACCTCCTAGGATTTGACTCCTTTTTTTATGACACGTCTTATTCAGATCAACATGAGTAGATCTAGTCTAGATCTAGATTAGATCTAACAATTGTTTCTAACATTGTTTGCACAAAAGTAGACGTCTTGTTCATCTCTCATAATCATAATCATTTGAGTTAGAGTTTGAGCAAGTTTAAGTCGAAAGACGCTTGGATAACAATAAGAAGACGGTGCAACTCGAACTTTAAATTAGTCCTAGAGAACATATACAAGCTGTCTGCTGTATACGTTCTCTAAGTCTCATGTTCAGTGCTTCCAAGCGTGGCATCGAATCCCGGTCCTGGAAGGGTTTTTTTTTTCCTTCTCCTGAGCCTAAAATTTAAAAAAAAAAAAATTCGACTCGCAGACCAAGGAAAGCCACTATTGAACTTTAACCAGGCCTAAATTGGTAAAATGAAAAGTATAGGCAATACTAAGGCCTACTTTGTACAGTGTAGAGCTCCTCTTGGGGACAAAACCAGAATGTGCATGCCATGCTTCATCACTACATTAAAAAAAACTACAAAGCAACAAGATATAATTATGGGAACAATTTGTTGGTCAGTCGAAAAGAGGACAACAACAAAAAAAAAGAAAGAAAAGAGAAAAAAATGCACAGGACCGGGATCGAACCCACACTAAAAAAATAATGGTTTTACTTCAAGCGCAGACGCGCTGTCACTTCGGCCATCAGAACTTCCGATAACGAAGTGCAGATTTTAAAGCTTGATATTTTACACGCGGCGACACAGCGTTTTATTTAGCACTAGCACTAATCGCAACACTGCGTTTTATTTAGCACTGGCGCTAATCACAACACGGCGTTGCAAATAGGCACTTCCTAACATAATATGCAATTTAGGATGTAGAGGGTAATTTTGTACTTTCACTCAGGTACCGCTCAGTTGAGGGTCAATTAGGGGAGAATGGGCCACCCTGAAGATCCAAAGCTAGAGGTCTGGCAATTTTGCATTAATAAACAAAACTAACAAAAACTGTTTCCAGCACAAGGAAGCAACTTTCTTTCTCTTTCAGGGCGGTTTGAGTTAATGGCATTTTTAAAAGACGTTTTCATCAAGAAAAAGTTGAAGTACTTGATTTTTGAAACTCGCAACTTGACCTCAGAGGAGCAAAACGGATCGGGTAAGTGTAACAATAGTTAAAGAACTTATCTAATTACATATTTTTCATTTGTTCTCCATGATTTAACTGCCAGTTGAAGAAAATAATTAAACATACATTTGAATGGTTAGAGTAAGACTATCAATCAATGGGGAGAAGTGGGCCACCATCGGCTTAGTTCTCCTATTGTATGGCCCACTTCTCCCCAGTTGTAGAAAAATAATCTTCACATTATTTCCATGCTATTTTAGACATTATATTACCTATTTTGTTAGAATATATAAGATAAAGATAGAGGCTTAGATCTTTATCTAGACTTTTAGAACAAACCTTGGGGTAGTATTGTAGTAGTCTACCATTCCGGAGTTTTCCCTCACTGTGCTCTAGTGTTACACTACTGTATACTCGTTTATTTCTCGTATTTTGGCATTAATCAGTGTCCCGAAGAGAGGCATTAATATGATTTATTCTTTTTTTTCTGTTCAATCTCAAGGGACAATGGTACGTATCAAAGGAAGACCGTCATAGGCACAGCCTTACCTGATACAACGAACAATGCAGTGGCAGCTGTCAGAAATAGAGCGCCTTTGAGAGAAGTCACATACCTCCACGGCATTGCTCGCACTAGCCTTCAAAACAATGTGAAGAAAGCTCTTCAAGATGATGTTGAATTGTGTCCAGGCTATCATCACAGTCAAGTGGGCCTATTCGTAGTAGAACAGGAGGCTGAATTGACGCGGTACCTGTTGAAATGTGGATAAAGATCCTTTGGTTTGACAACTGCTAACTGCAGAAAACTCGTCTATGAAGTCGCTGTTGCAAATCACCTAAGAACTTTTGTACCCATCTTCGTGGGATGATGAAAAATGTGCCGGAAAGGAATGACAGATGGGTTTTATTTGGAGACGTTCTCAACTCAGTTTGCGACAACCAGTGGCTACCTCATTGGCAAGAGCCACAGCTTTCAACAGACATTCTGTAGGAACATTTTTCAACTTCCTGCTCATTCTTTCTAGATAGTGACCTGGCACCCACTGTACAGAATTTGCATCTGAAGAATTTATCAAATGGAGAGTGAAATCATATAGGGGTAGTGTGTTTCTGTTTCTTGACCCATATTGGTTATTGGGAAGCCCAGTATACTTAATTTAATTAGAGCCCAAACAAAAAATTTTCACTTCAGCTGTACCTAGTGTCCCTTAAATTTTTAATTTACAAAACCTGAGCTTGAGACGGTCCGGAAGTGAAAGTTTGCATGCCCTTCTGTTTGCATTGGTTGCATACTCCACAAAGGTACTGCTGGGGCTAGCCCGTCATTGGCATCATTATAGAGGCTACTTTCATGCTGTGCGGGTTGCTGAACAATTTTTCAATTTTCAAGAGGATGTAATGGTCTCATTCATCTTGCAACTTGCTGATTAAAATTTCAGTCTGCTTTATTATTATTATTATTATTATTAGTATCATTATTAATATTATTATGTCATTACAAAAAATTTTCTTCTCTAAAATTGTCTCCTTTCACATCCTTTCCTGATCTCTAACAATGTTCTGTTGTCTGCTTTCATTTCCACTTTCTGCCCCCACCCCCCTCACCTCCTTTGCCCCCTCCTCTGGGCTCCTGACTCTTTCTGCAGCCTTTCTACTGCTACTCCTTGGCTCCTCCTAACTGCTGTCTTTCAGCCACACCCCTGATCTTCTGGTAGGAAAGATCTACACCTAGCCTTCTCGGACAAGGGCGAAAAAATCTCGGAGGGCCTGTGTGCAAGTTGCGCACGTTACAGATCCTTTGGGGGTCAAAAATCGATAAGAGTAGGCTTCGGCCGACACCCGGGCAAAATTCAAAATTTCCTACCAACGAAAAAGTATTAGGTGTGTCCCGCGCGCTCATATGACCTTATGCAGTTGCGAGCGCCGTAAAACCCTATACAAAAACAAACAAACAAATGTTTTGATTAAATATTTACGGATCATGTATTTTAGTTTTATCTGCAAACTTTATTTGTTTATTTTAGGTTTCTTTAACATAGGGGTATGATGATATTGTTATTGTAGCAGATAGCATGTATAGGCCCTATGCACTCATTTTTGTAAATGCTGTTTGTTGTCTTGTCATTCACAGGGATGGGATGATGTTGGCTTCCATGGGTCAGAGATTCTTACTCCTAATATTGACAAACTGGCACAGGCTGGAGTCGTTCTAAATAATTATTATGTCCAGCCCATATGTACTCCGACACGAGGATCTATTTTGTCTGGCCGATACCCAATTCATACAGGTATAGCAATTCCACAATTTGAGCTGATATTGTATTCAGTAGCATTAACTGAACATTTGTGTCACAACGCAGTGGAATCAGGCGTTCATCAATTTTTGGGCATAAGTTATAGTATCATCTTAAAGGTTATTCATTTGCCTTGCTTTCAATGAAATGAAAAAAATATCCATTTATCTTTAATAGAAGTGGAGATATTTGCTATTGAAGGAGGTGGGGTCACCTGGTTTCAGAAGTAAAATTAGCGTGAAAATGGACGCCAAATTTTGGTGACTTCCATAGCTCAAGAGTCCTTGGAAACTGCGAATTTCTATTTTTGTGCCTTTAATCAACTTTTTTCCTTAAAATGCTCACGTGTTCTTAAATGGACATACAAGGTGTTCAGCCAAATAACAAAATTTTGAAAAAAATGTCCAAACTTGCCAACTGGCCAAAAAATGCTGATTTCTCGGATTTCATAATTTTGATCAGCACCTGATTTTACCATGCTGCCTTGCATTTTCCAAAAAGAAGATTGTTATGTAGTTTTATACTTTTTTTTTCTTCCGAATTATAGATCCATGTTGAAACAAAACTAAATATGTTGCTCAATCCTAATGAAATGACTTTTTGATGAGACCTCAGGTTTTTGGTTAAATTAAATTTCTTTCTATGCTTTAACATGATAAGAGAGACTCACAACGTTTGTAATATGATATATACATAGCAAGGGCCCACTTTATCCCCTTTAGGAGGCTACATTTTTCATAGCGCCAACCAAGATATATTTCCAATCTGGGCATAAACTAACACCTGTCACTACCTAGGTGATCAAAATTACCAAAAATGCCCTCTGGTGGCCGATATCACCCAGGTTGGCAAGCACTGGTTTGCACAAAAGAGTTCAGAATCCTTTGCAAAAAAAGAGCTGAAAATAGATCTTTGATATAATTTGCTTTGGATCTGTGATTGACCTTCTGAAATTCTATATTTTCACTATAGCTCTAATGTCCACCTGACCTGGACAATCATCTGTACAATTTTAACAATCTCCTTCCACTTCTCCTCTTGTATCTTTCTTTAAAATATAATGCTAAAGACACGTATACTGTCCGAGACATCGACATATTAAAGACAACCACTTTAATTCTTGACAATGGGTGGCTGCCTTGGATAATTGCGACTATATTCTTCATTTTTATTTGCCATAACAAATGATTTGTTTTTTGGGGTTTTTTTTGCTTTGATGTGTGTATGCAGGTCTTCAGCACAGTGTGATCACCGGCTCTCAGCCTTATGGCTTGCCTCTCAAGGAAGTTACAATTGCTCAGCGCCTCAAAGAACTGGGCTATGACACACATGGTGTTGGAAAGGTTGGCACATTATACATAGGGCCTATATGTGTGTGTGTGTGTGTGTGTGTGTGTGTGTGTGTGTGTGTGTGTGTGTGTGAGAGGCATCGTGGTGAAATCAGGCGCTCATCAAAATAATGAAATTGAAGAAACTAGAATTTTTCCACCGGATTAGCAGTTTAAAATTGAATTTTTTGTTTTGTAGCTCAGCACCTTTTATGTCTATTTAAAAACATTTCTGTGTGGATTTTACTTGAAAAAAATTGATTGTGGGCTCACAAAATGTAAATTTTCAGTTTCCAAGGACTTTTAAGCTATGGAAGTCACCAAACTTTATCGCCCGTTGTCTCACTTCAATTGCAAACATCTCGACTTCTATTCAAAACAATTGGATATTTTTTTTTCATCGAAAAGCAAGACGAATGAAAAATTAACTGGCACCTGATTCCACTGCGTAGTGACGCATATTATTATGTTTATGTGGTTCTTTAACCGTATTACAAGTTTCTGACACCTGAAGAAGAAGTAGGGATGTAATAGAAATATAATAGATTGATATATAAATCCTGATTTGATGTTAGGACTTTTTATTTTTTAAGGCATTGTTGTAGTAAGTGAGCCAAATGTGATTTTGTCTTTGCTTTTCTTTATCTTATTGGAATTTCCTTTCAAACATCAGCATGTATAACATTATCAGCATAAGTATTCGTTTGTTTTATTTAGATCATCACATAAAAGAGGTTTTCTGTGTAATAGATAGGATGCCTCCAATATTTACATTCTTTTTTCGAAAAGTCGTTTTTATTTGGTGATACAATGGAGTCTGCTTAAACCAAAAATGTTTAATCTATATACAGCTATTAACGGAAAGAAAATAGCATCTTTCTAAAGTAAAGACAATCAGGCAGTCCCACATAATTTGGTTTGAGCACACTCCACTGTATTAACATGATGATTGAATGCACCACAGTGTGTTGCTTTCTCTTTTGACGTCCATTTTATCAGACAGATTTATTGTTAGCCTGTGGGTAGTCGGTAGGCTCTCTGGTGTGGTTTGCTCTTTCTTTCATTTCAAATATCTAACATCTTTATAATCTCCCCCCCCATGTGATACACCACCTGCTTTTAGTTTTCCATGGATTAAGTTTATCTTATTTCCTCTTTCTTCTGCTCGATTACGATTAGTCAGTAATTGTGTTTTTTCCAATCTTTAGTTGACCACAATTTTTCAGCCTGAGAGGGACTTTCCAGTGGTTGATGATTGTTTAAGAATTTTTTCTGGCATTTATTTCAGTGGCACCTGGGGTTCTTCAAAGACAGTTACCTCCCCGAGAACCGAGGATTTGACTCCCACTATGGGTACTACTTAGGACATGGAGATTTCTTTGATCACTACGCAGGAGATGGGGTAAGGTTTTATGTTTATTTTTTTATTTTTTCTTGGGGGGTTGGTTTGAGGGTGCTCTGATGTGGTTTGCACCTTCTATTTTATGAAACATCTATCATGCTTTAAATCTCTCCTCCTTTCTCCTTTTCTTTGCATGCTAATGTTACTCTAAAGCAACACCTCTAATCTTCTCTTTTTCCCAAGACTGTAAGGGGGTTGAGGAAAACTTCTATTTTTGGTTGTGGGGTAGTCGGCAGGTCTGCATTTGCCTGTCCATCTTGTCAAAGGATGTTTTCCCTACCTCCCACACATTTAGGGATATTGCCAGGTTTGTCACAGGTTTTAAGTTCTGTATGCAGTCGACTTGTGATTTCCAAGACGGCCACCAATTATCGTGGAGAAAAGTGGTTGTCTTAGACAAGTGGACGTAATACTAGATAATGGCATTATATATACAGTTGAAATTGTTTTTGATGACCATCATTTGTGAAGCGTGCTGACAAAATATGAGTTACTTCTGAGATTCAAACCCTATGGAAATCGATACATCACGCTTATTAGTGAAGTTTCTACAATTTATAAGTATAAAATAATAAAAGTCATGTTATACTTAAAGAATGTGGCATAAATAGAAAATCTACAAATTTGACCTTAGTGTTGATTTTTGGCCAATATCTCCATTTGTGGATTGTGAGAAGTAACTCATTTTGTCAGCAGGCCTCGCATTTGTCAAGGAGAAAAGTGGTTTTCTTAGACAGATAGACTTCTTGGACAGTGTTATAACATAACGGGGGGAAATAGAAATTGTTCTTTTGTACAGGTGATTGTCTTGTCTTAGACAGATGGACTTTAGAGTAGGCTTGGTGTTGTCAGTCACAGTGTCAAATCAGAGGGGGAAGTTTTTACAAATCTGTGGACTACTCCAACTGAAGCTGTTCAACCGCGACTCATATTCCTTTTGCCCATGGTTTAGTATCATGGAGAGGGAAACAGAAGGAGCCAAGATCCACAGAATTCAAGCAATGATTCACAAAAATTGTTGAAAAATTTCACCATGATACTGTGATACAAAATGTTACTTTTCATTATGTGCATCTGTACACTTTCCAGGGCCACATTGGATACGACTTCCATTTCAATGGCCAAACTACCTGGAACCTGAGTGAGGTATACTCTACTGAGATATTCACCCAGCGGGCAGAGACAGTAATTCATCAGCACAATCAGTCAAAGGTTTGTTTGCTTATGGATGGTTGGTGGGTGCTCAGGTGTGGTTTGCACCTTTTTTCCTATCAAATGTCTATTTTCCCTTTTACTCCTCCTTTTTGTTTGTATTTATTACCCTCTTGTAACGCCTCTATATTTCGGCACTTAAATGACTTAATTGTGTTGTAAGTGCTTTAAATATCTTACTAAAACTTTTTTTCAAGTTTGTTTCATAAGATATGTAGGAGTTTTACTCAGCTCATAAAGACTGTGTTGTCTACATCTCACCTGCAGTATTTTAAAAAAAACTTTTTTTACTGCCATCTGTAGAGTAGCAGTTAGGCACTTTGCCGTAGCGTGCAGGAGACCCGAGTTCAGGTTTGAGTGGTGAGAATTTATACAGAGTATCTCAGTCTTTTTGCTGGGATGTTGTGTCTCTCTCATTTCTTCAACAATTATGACTTACGCCATTTTGCAACTTCTTAAATTAAAAAAACAACTTATTGACACTTTTTACAAAAATTATATAAAAACATGCTGGAGTCATTACTGTATTCAATTCTGCATCAATTCACAAATGGCCTAAGTCTGACTTAGGCAATTTGTTCAGCACCATGACTCTATGCAAAGGCTAATTACTCAAGTACTTGAATGGAACTGAGTACTCACACTCCCCTAGTAGAAAATGGGATCTTGGACTTGTAAACCCCCCCCACCCCCACCCCCCGAAAAAATAATATAACACACACAAACACACACAAAAAATAATTGAGTATAACTCCCATAAAAAAAGCAAAGCCGACCCCATCAATTTGATGTCAGACTACTGTAAATTCAGTATCACCTCCCTTCTGTCTGCAGCCCCTGTTTCTATATTTAGCTCACCAAGCAGTTCATGCGGGCAATGCTGGAGATCCCATCCAAGTACCGCAGAAGTATGTGGACAGATTTCCCTATATCAAGAATATGAAAAGAAGGTTATTTGCAGGTAGGTTAAAAATTATGTGGGGTCTGCTTCATGGTGGACATAATAATGCAAGCTTTGGATTACGGTTCTTAAAACACCAGCAAACTGACTAGATCTTTTGTTGTCCGTAGCTGGGTACCTATTCCCACCTGGATGCAGTGAGCAAAATTGTATAAAGTGCCTTTTCCAAGGACATAAAGTTAGGCTCCTGATGGGGTTCGGACTTGGGATCATTCAGTTGCAAACCAGGCAACCTAACCACTAGACTATCGACACCACACTTAAAGGAATGACAGATTAAAAATAGTGGTCAATATTTTGATTTATTTTTTTGAATTGATTATAAAATGATGAGAAATTTTATGAGCAAAACAATCCTGACAGTGTAACTAATTATTAGTGAAGTGCATTATGATCAGGAAGCCAAGAATTTTCTGATAAAAGTATTTTAAAACATATCAAAAACTTTTGGAATTTTCACAAAACTGCTTTGTTATAGAAAGGTGTCGAGATTCATTCTACATTCTGGATTTTCTATTTTTAACCTTAGTCTCTTACATTTCTTTTCTCTTATCCGACAGACATACCAGCGTCTGTAGTGTAGTGGTTAGGTGCTTGGCCATCACATGGAACAGGAGACCTGAGTTCAATTCTCAAGTTGGGAGAACTTTTATTGAGTATCTCAGTCTTTCTTCTGGGATGTTGTATCCCTCGAAGCCTGGGTTGGCCCTGACAGGCTGGTTCGGAGCCCGCCTCTTAGATTATCTAAATTGTGTCAATAGGGATGTAAGAACTCGTACACTTGAAAAAGAAAATGATTTCTAGCAGACATGATTTCCACACATTGTACGACATATTTATCTAAAACTTCTCTGACAGCCATAATAATAATTGTATTTATATAGCGCATATCCACGCTGTAGAGCATGCTTTTCTCGCTTTACAACCCGAATCACCCCAGCAGACTCTAGAACATTCAGAAATATTCTCGGCGAGCATACATTGTAATTAAACAATTAGGTGCTCAGACACTAACAAACTGACGACAACTTTCACTGTGTTTAGGTGGATGAAGTGAGGAAATTTGTGTGAAGTGCCTTAACCAAAAAGTAGTTAAAACGCACAACTTTTTCATTTTTGGTTGTGAGCCGGATAGCCTTAGCACTAGACCACATTTCTCTTTACCTTCTCTGACATACATGACACTAATGACATATTTCTCATTTACTTCCTGACACTCTGTGACACATTTGTCTTTCTCTTCTACAACAGACATGAATTCAATACACTACATGACACATTTCTTTTTCCCTTCTCTGACAGGCATGACACATAAGATTCTCTTTTCCCTTCTCCGACAGGCGTAACCTCGGCTCTAGATGACTCTGTGGGTGCTGTGTACAAAGCGTTGCAGGACGCAGGAATGGCCGACAACACGGTGATCGTGTTCAGCACAGATAATGGAGGGCCGGCCAATAACTATGATGGCAACGCTGCCTGCAACTGGCCCCTCAGGTAGATCTGTTATTAGTTTTACCGTCTTATTAAATTTCTTCTTCTTTTTCTTCTTTAAAAAAAGAAATCCCTCTCACACCTACGAAATAGTAAGACACACCCTTACACCTTCTTCGATTCCAAATGTACTGACGATGTCTCTCCTTTGGAGAGTGTCAAGGAAGTCAAAATCTGAAGGGAGGTAAATAGTGATTGGGCAATCTTCTTTTTCTGGCTACCACTCAGGCAATGCTGTATCATGCGCGCTGCTTTAACCGTTTGAGCCCTGACCTCCTGAGACTGCTATGCCCCTCTGCCTGAGCTCCTGAGGGGTATATTATTAACATTCGTATGATCGTCACAATCACATTCCATATCCTGCTCAGGTTAGTCCTTGTCATTTACCAGCATCCAATTCAGAAAGATCTTCTAAGTAATCAATAGTGTCTCGTGCAGTAAACACGGTTTCTCGTGTGCGTTTTGTTCCAGACAGGTCAGTTTGGGGATTGGGTCTTGCTCACTAGTGTACCACTCAGTAGCTAGGAATGTGGGCAGTTTTATGTGCCGCTGCTGTACGGGGACAAGGGCTCAAAGGGTTCAGATAGTCTGTCAACAGAAAAGACCATCATCATCTTCGTCTAAACAGACATTGGCAATCATGGATCGCCACTGGTTTCTCTGACTAGATGCTCTCTAAAAACTTGTAATAATTTGATTAATAATAATAAATTATATTTTACTGGTCCCCGTAGGAAAGTTTGAGAAACAATGACAAACATTCATACATAAATACATATACTTAGAAATATATACATACCTACACAATTACTTATAAATATGCTATATTACACCAATACAGAACTATTTTAGAAATATGCCATTGCTTGTCGCCACTGTGCAGTGCCCAGTTTTTTTTAGCTAGGGTTGTTATGTCTTGCTCAAGGGCACACCTCAGTGACCACCCTTCTGAACCCTGTATCACCGACACTTGCTTGACTTTACTTTTGAGTTTGCACTCTCTACTCACTTAGCCACTCGAGTCCCCAGTGACCTTGCACTCAAACAAAGTGAGTTTGATTCCCCATTGGGGAAGACTTATGACTATGAAAGTAAAAGTGAAGTTGCTTAAACTGAACAAAGTTAATCCAAAAGCTGTGGTAAACAGAACGAAAATAAATAGAGCCTCTTATTTTTTTAGTCCACTATTTGAGCAATCTCTCTAAACCAAGAAGACGGCTAAACTGAAGAAAATCCAGCAGTCCGGCAAATTTTGTGTTCAAGCTCATGCTTTTTCGAGTATGCGTCTATATAACTCTAAAGGTCTTGTAATTAAACTCCTGCATGTGGTTTTATGGTGCTTCTGGTGAACTAAAAATGTTATGTACACCTGCTAAGGGCGGGCACGAGACGAGCCGAGTACTCGTTTCTCGCGAGAAATGCCCTTCCCGTCGCTGCCCGGGCACTAAACCACTGCCCGGTACCGAGAAGTGATACTGCCCGTTGGCTTGACATAACGAGTAACAGTAACGAGAGTGAGAGGCGAGAAATGACACGCAGACATCACAGTGCCGTCCTGTGTGTGAAACTGAAAGGGAGGGGAGAGGGTGGCGAGACGAGGCGAGTGGGGAGTTGATCAGGGCCTAGGCCTAGAACTCCCTACCTTCCTTCACCGCCTGCGCCTGCGCAACAGGGCCAGCCTAGTTTAGATCCCCACCACGACCGACCTTCTCGCTGAACGAGTTGCCCGTACTGCGGGGCGAGAAGAGGAATTGGTCACGAGATGAGAAGCATTTCTCGGGATACGAGACCAGAAGCATTTCTCGGTACCGGGACCGGTCCCGGCAAGAAGTAGGTCAGCTTCTCTGTCTTCTCGCTCGGGAAGGAAAAAGTGCTTCCCGCCCGTCACTAACACCTGCATGTGCTTTTACGGTCCTGTACAGCCAAGAAAAAATCCCCCCGGGGCAATAAAGTATTATCGTATCTTATCTTTATCAATCGATTCTTGTGGTGTAACAATTAGGCACTTTGCTGTCACATGCAAGTGTCCTGAGCAGGATATGCGGGTGGGGAGAAATTTTTATTGAGTATCTCAGTCTTTCTGATGGGATGCTGTATCCCTGTGAGCCTGGGTTGGCTTGATCGGAAGCCCATCTCTTATTTGATCTAAACTGTGTCAATCGGGGGGGGGGGGGGAGCATAGAAACAACTTCATGTTTAAAAAAGAAGTTACTTTTTGTCTTTCTGAGAGCTTGTAAGACATAAGTTAGGCCTGGTAAATAGGGTGGACTAAATCATCTCGTAGGTCTGAATGGTGTCGATCGTGGTGATTGGAAGAAAAGTCTTCTGGCACATAATATTTATTTTCAACAGACCTCTCTACCAGCACTTTTTATTTGTGATACTGTGTGGTGGGTCTGGCAGTTTTGTGTGAGTGTGTGTGTGTGTGTCTGTGTGTGCACATGTGTGTGTGTGTGTGTATGTGTGTGCATGTGTGTGTTTGAATGTATTGTGAAATAGTATCTCAATGTGCATTGTCTGTCTTATGATTGACAATTTTGCATTTTACAGGACTTTGAACCTTCCTGGGATTAAGCGCTATATATAAAATTCTTGCATTCTTCTTCTTCTTCTTCTTCTTCTTCTTCTTCTTCTTCTTCTTCTTCTTCTTCCTCTTCCTCCTCCTCCTCCTCCTCCTCCTCCTGACCTAAATTTTGGGGACACAGGTGGACATAGGTGGAGGCTATAGCCCAGGACAGAAGTAGATGGAAAGCTCTTGTTGGTGACCTACACTTCACTACGGAGTGAATAAGGATGATGATGATGAAGATTATTATTGTCATCATTATTATTATTTCTATTGTTATCATTATTATTTTTTATTATGGAACATCACTCAAATCACATAGATTCTAATTGTGCTTTGTTTTATTTTTATTTTTTTTAAATCTTTATTTTTATTTTTTCAGGGGCACTAAGAACACACTATGGCAAGGAGGAGTGCGAGGTGTTGGCTTTGTGAACAGTCCTCTCCTGAAGAAATCTGGCTACGTCAATGAAAACCTTATGCATGTGGTCGACTGGCTACCAACAATATACACTCTCGCCGGTGGAAATGTCTCTATGCTTGGAGATATCGACGGCGTTGATCAGTCGGCAGTTATATCACGAAACTCTACCTCTACTCGTAAAGAAGTATTGCTCAATATTGATCCGATTTATAAACATGAAGCAATCATCGTGGGAGATTTCAAATATATCTACGGGTATATTTCTCGTAATGACAACGAGTGGTATCCCCCACCAGGTTCAACAAGGGATGTAGAGAAAGTTCCAGCCGGGAATGAGCTCTCTGTAGACTTCAACAACTTGCAACAATGGCAACAACTGTACAATGATGACAACAGCATCAAAACAGTCAGTGACGAAGGTCTGCCAGAGATCATTTCACAAATGGACGCCAGTTATGAGCTCTGGAGAAAGCAGCGGCTACAAGAAACATCTTCAACTTTAACCTTTGACCCTCAGCTTGTACCTTCAAGCCACAAAGGGCAGGAGCAGGAAGATGAGTATAAGAACACAGTTGGTGATATGCACATGCGCGTCGATGACGAGCGTCTTCTTGAGCCTATCAAGGTCAAGTGTGGACTCAAACCCGCCAATGCCTCGACAAACTGCGACCCTGTGAAGAAAGCATGCCTGTACAATCTCCGAGACGACCCCTGTGAGTTTGAGAACCTGGCCTTGGCCCTGCCGGACGTTGTGGAGAGGTTGGAGGCACGGGTGGCGATGTACAGGAAGACTATGATTCCCCCAGGGAACAAACCCATCGACCCACGGGGAAACCCCCAGCTCCATGGTGGGGTCTGGGTGCCTTGGTTGTAACAGAAAAACAAGATAGGAGAGTTACCGAATTGGTACGATACTATCAAATTAAACTAAATTTGACTGTGACCTTCAAAATCAAAGGAGAAACTAGATAGGAGAGTTCCTTTTTTGGCACAGTATGACCAATTCAAACTAAGTTGACTGTGAATTCAAAATCAAACGCATTTGTTTCTCAAGGTCGTAAGTCAAATTGGTCATATTGTGCCAAAATGATAGCTTTTGCCCCATCCAGGAAATCAAAATTTGGATGGCCCCAAACTTAATTTGATGAGTTCAATTAGCAATGCGCTCAGGACATTATGGGCTAATTCCCAGCTAATCAAATGTTTTGGAAGTCTGGTGAACCAAAGTGTGTGGATTTGGAGGATTTTTTTTTTAAAGGTACAAGCCCCCCCACCCCGCACCCTGTTTTCTTTTTCTTATAGAAGCCAAATCGAAAGGTTGAAAAATTTTTACTGACATAAATGATGATGTGCCTTAATGATGTTAGTAGCAATTATGTACTGGTATGAGATGTTAAGACCTTATTAATATTTCGCTGCTGCTGTTGTCACTTATGCCGTTTCATCAATGTTGCTTAACTGCTTCCACCTCTAATCTTGCAAAGTGTGTGGAGTTGATTGTGGTGCTTTATGATAATACTGATTTCAACATATTATCTTTTTCTTTCTCTTGACAGTTAATACAGTTGAACCTGCTCTAACAACACACCTGTTCAATTGGCGCGCATAATACTCACATGACCTTATGCAGTTGCGAGCGCCGTATAACCTCTACTATAAAAAAAACCACCTGTTCAAGACTATCGTTTGCACAAACGCCCACTTCCCATTCCCCCCTTGTGGTTTTTCTATGCTATGACACAGTCCAAGAGGACTACTTAAGGTGACCACTTTTGTCGTGGACAATTGGTGGTCTTTTGAGACAGGTTGGACTGTATTTAACACCATTCTTAAACTAGAATGATAGTGTAATGAGAGGATTTGGTGTTAACACTTTGCAGTCACTCAGTCAGCAGTACAAAATACGCCATCTGGTCACCCAGTCAGGAGAGTGACTGCAACGAACTTCTTGGGCCTGGTGCAGAACTGCGCCGCTTGACTGGAACGGATCATTTTTACCGTCGTATTATTGTGCCAAGTGACCGCAAAGTGTTAAATAATGATTGCTACTTAATGATATTATTGATTCGTTTAAACGTACATGTATATATATACAGTATATCACGCAGAGGTCAAACACAGAAGACTTGAAATCACGCGTCCGTCGAACTGTGCCAGCAGTCCCGATTTTTTTTTCCTTCTTTATCTTTGTAAGATGTTCCTTAAAGTACAGATCCCTAGAACTACCAATCAATGCCTGTCTGATGAATTCGAGCTATCCGTGTTATACAGTAAATATATCGTACTTACAGTCTTAGCTGATAATTCTGATTTGAAAGTGCTAGCCTTACCTCATATAACAAGAATTATAATTTAATAAAAATAGTAATAATTATTATCAAAATTATAATTAGAAGAGTGTAAATATGGGTGCAATTCTCTGAAATCTGTCTCTTCAGGATTTTTTAAAGTGAAAATTTTAGCCTTATTTGCCCTATAAGGGGATTTCCTTTTATTGTTGGAAGATCTAACAAATTTGAGCACATGAAAAAGAAGGAAAAAGGAGTTTTATAATGAGATTCTTATGCCAAAATGCAAAGCATCGGAGTGAAAAGAACTTTGAGTATATCTCTGCAGTAAAACTCTTTCCAACAGATGTTTATATGTTTTAAAAAAGAGACTGACAATACTGCATGAAGAAATTGTGCTGAAAATGATTTATCTTTCTTTAGCAATTCACTTCTTTTTTTAAGGGTACTTTTTTTTCCAGTGGGGGAGGGGGTTAGTATGTTGTGTAAGTTTAGCGTGATTATTAGCGAGCAAACAAACTCTCTGACAATGGAAGTGACAGGACCATGCCCAACCCAACAGTAAAACTTCTCTTTTTAAAGTGCAAACCGAAATGTGTCATGACGTGGTAGAATCAGATGCTCAACAATTTTTGGGCATGAGGAGTTCTTGGTATCATCTTAAAGCTTGTTCATTTGCCTTGCTTTCAATGCAATAAACACTCATCTATCTTGAATAGAAGTTGAGATGTATGTGATTGAAGGGGTTAGGGGTCGCCTGGTTTCAGAGGTTAAATTACTATAAATTAGTGAGAAAATGGCTGCCAAAGCTTGGTATCTTCCCTAACAACAAATTTACATTTTTTGTGCCTTTAATTACGTTTTTCAGTAAAATTCACTCTGAAATGTGTTTTAAAATAGGCATAAAAGGTGTTGACCCAGAAAAGATTCTTCTGTTCAATTTTTTGACGAGAACCTGATTTCACCAGGATGCATCACAAATAATGGGAGATGTTTGCTCTGCTGGGATTAATATTTTTTACCAAACAGACATCTAAGAGTCTTCTGTAAAGTCTTTGTTCAGAATTATATCGTTGAGGGTCAACTTTAGTAATATTTGTGTTTGTGCATTGCCATACCTTCCTTATTTGTGTTTGTACTTTAAAACACACTGCTTGGAGCCCCTGGGGCAGTGCCACTGACTGAAGTGTCTTTAGGCCATTCTCAAAGGGAGGACATTTCTCGTTCAAGCAAAGTAGAATTGTAAATGGGCTGACTCATGTCACGCTCATAACTGTGCCTGATCTACAACAGGGAACTGCTGCTTTTTCTATCCTGATCCTTACTATTGTCATTTGGCTCTACTTCTTTTATGTTTGTCACTCTCTTGTGACCTGTTATTTTGGGGTGCCTTGATAGTCGAAGCAGACCTTGTGCTGTTGAAGCTAGAGAGGTGAGCAGTCTAAGTCTGATTCCCTGTAAAGACTTCTCTGTTGACACCCACCCCTTGGCGCTCATATGACCTTATGCAGTTGCGAGCGCCGTAAAACCCTCTACTATTTTTTTAAAAACCCACTGTTTGGGTGCACATTCGATAAATATGTCAGTTAATATGTGTTTGTATCACAACACACAGAAGTTTACCTGTTGGGTGCACATTTGGTCATTATTTGTGTTTGTATCGTAACACACAGAAGTTTGACTGTTGGGTGAGCACACAGTCAATATGTGTTTGTACTGTAACACATGGAAGTTTTGTTGTTGGGCTTGGTCCAGCTACTTTAAATTTAAATTGGGTTTTATGCACAATCTCAAACAGCTGATACTATTCTTCAAGTTATGCTTACCATAACATGCAGCAGGCCTACATGGGTACTCTACAGCTGAACAAAATGAAATCTATTGTACACAGGGTTTTTTTTGGCATGCTCTTTTTTTTTTCATGCTTTTTTTTTCATTTTGTATTTAGCAAAAGATATGGATTTATGATTTGAATCGCCCAGTGTCGTGTGTGTTGTCTGCTAGATGTTTAAAATTAGTCTTTGATCTTTTGATTTTAAAATTGCAAAATTCTTTAATTCAAGTCTCTAGCTGTATACAATATTTGGAACATTTGGGACCTGAAAAATCTATTGGCTATGTGTGGTGTGAGTTTCGCTAGACTTTATTTTTGTCTATCTTGTCACCTTGTACAGCTTGCTACCCTCCAAAGAGGTTACGTCTCTACTATTTACTTTGCTACCTCAGAATTACAAAGTTCTTTTGGACATTTTTGACCGTTTTGAGTTACTAAGACCATGAAGTCAGAAACCAAATGTTCTATTTGCTCCATCAAAACCGTAAGATTTATCGGAGTTGTTATCCAGATATTCAAAGAATTGCATTCTAAAAAGCTTGACGTGATGTGAAACTCAAAATCTTTGACGTCAAACTTCTCAAAACTAGGTACTGAGCAGATAAAACTTTGTAATTCTGAGGTAGCGACATGTCAAACTACAAAGATGTGTCATGACATGGTATATCATCTTTTATTTGATTTTTGTACATGTACTGAAATTCTTTTATTTCTTTACTTCGAACATTCCATATGACATTGACAAGTCTTTTTATTAATCTAATAAAATCATGAAGGGAGACTGTGCTAATGAAGACACAGGAGTGCTGCTCCTAAGCTTATATAACTGTGGTGCAATAATATATATATATATATATATATAATATTGAGTATGTTCGACTCTTATTCAATTGTGTATGTGCTTGAACTCTTGATTTGAAGAGAAGTGGAAAAAACGTGTATTTTTTAATATCTACCAGAATTGCGCGAAATTTTGCTTTAAGTGTTTTCTTTTTACATATTATTATAGTGTGACCAATTGTGACTATGGTTGTCTGTTACATAATACGAGACAAAGAAATGTGTTTTACTTAATTTGGCAGTATGGTACTGTAACAATTTATAAGAATAGAAATATATACATTGACCCCAATGAAAAAACAATGAATTTCACAATCACATACTCCTAATTATTCAATCTCTGAGACAAAGAAATGTGTTTGACTTAATTTGGCAGTACGGTACTGTAACAATTTATAAGAATAGAAATATATACGATGACCCCAATGAAAAAACAATGAATTTCACAATCACATACTCCTAATTATTAAATGTCTGTCTTTAGTATGTGCAGCATGCATTGGTTACTTACTGTGTTTTAGTTTTAGTAAAAGTTTTACGGGGGAACTGTCAACACAATAAGGTCATATAAATGCTGAAGATTGAGGCGTTACAAGAGAGTGGCGTTCGCAGAAAAGGAGAGAAAAGGATGATACATGTTATAGCAAAGAAGTGACTTATCATTTGGGTGTTAAAAAAAGCACACAAAATTTGCCGTGCTTTTCTAGAGTAGGCAATTTCCACAATTTCTTCATCTCCCTTACTCTAGGGCAACAATTCCAAATTGTACATAATTTCTACCGATAATACACAGCACTTACAGTGAAACTAGCCTTTTAGTTTGTTTGGTGGTACTATATCTATCTTTTGGTATATAATCAAAACAAAAATGTGTTGACAGTCACAAAAGAAACATGCATGGCAAGTTTTTACCATTACTAGATGATAAATAGTCTAGTTAAACTTAAACAGCTTTTTTTTTCTCTTTATCTCACAAATAGCAAAAAATGAGGTGCCGTTTTATTAGCCCAGTGACAAAGTGTTGTAAAGCTTTTACTAAAACTAAAAGTAGAACAGGTGAGCTGCATGAACACTGACCTCCTGCAGCATGTTTCTGTATGCTACACTCTTATCGGGTTATCAACAACTTTGCTGGTCATATCGAGTAAAATATTTATGCTTTTGATTTTCTTTTTACACTTTGGCCTCTATAACTTATAACTTTTACGTAATAGTTATGGGAATATATCTTATGCCTGAGTAATTAGAGTATGCAATACGAATATGTGAAAATATCTTATAAAATGCATTTTTAACAATTTCATTTGGGTCTCGTGAAGTTTGATGGAATGAAATAAAATGGGTAAGCTACCACTTTACATGTTTTTGTTTAATTCTAGTGCTTTGTATCTTTGTACAGTCTCGCTCGAATGCACATCGGTGAGACATGGAAAAATGTTCGTTACGTATGAATCTTGTTATGTGCATTTTTTTTTTAACACAAAGAATACATTATGTAGAAGAAAAATTTGGGACATGGAAATCTGCTTGCGATGTGTGTGTGCTGGACACTAGGCTGCTTTGTTTGAGTTTCAGCACTTGAACTATCTTTGGGCTCTGGTCTGTTTTTCAGCATTTAGGCTCTCGCGCCGCAAGGAGACCCAAGTTCAATTCCGGAGCGGGGAAATTTTTTTTTATCTTGGTCTTTTTGTTGG